AATATCTCAACTTTTATTCAATATATGTATATATTTTCTTTTTAGCAAGACAAATCAAAAAGCTTTAAGATGATACCAATCCCTCTGCATGCCTCAAAATTTGCAAGTCTCCTCAGGGCAACTTTAAATTTCAATTTGTATGTCATGTATACGGTGTGCTCAGATCGTCTTTGTCTCTGTAGTTTATAGATAGATTTGATGATCTAATCCCTTTTTTTCTTCTGATTTCGCACAGGGTTACATCAGTGAAAAGTTTGGTGCTGCCATCTATGCTGTTGACCTGCTCACATTACTGGTGCTGCCTGCTGCTGTCATTTACTACCTACACCCAATCATAGGTAAGACTAGTAATATTCCGCTCTTTTTAGTATTCTTATCCTTAATATTCACGAAGTTTACCTTTTATATTGTAATGTTCCCATTTGGAAATGCTTCTTTAATTTGAACAAATTTTGATTCCTTTTTAAGACTCTGATTGTGTAGATTTTTTATTAGACCTTTACAAATGCATGTTGTATTTTCAAACTATTTAAACTATGGAAATGTGCTTTAGGCATTTGGGGGTTGAGTTTCATATTGTCTATGGAAGGGCTTCCTGCTTTATCATGACTCTTGAAAATTGCCCAATACAAAATGTCTTCCTTTGTGAGGTCAGCATTTTTGGTCCTGAGTCAGGCTGCTTTTTGCATTTAATAGTGATGTGATTCTGTGCACACTATAAACAAAAATGTAATCATCTTCTTTCAATCGACACATATGACAGTGCTAGAAACTTATGATGAATCATTTTGAATCCAACCCTGTATCTTCTTGATATTGTTTTAAATAGGATATAAAGAATGAAGTTACCTTTTCACTAATAATAATTTTCATTTTGCTGTTGTTCACATTGACAAAAATGCATGTTCTGAGATTAGACGCAGCTTGAAGAGCGTGAGTGAAGCTTTCCTGACTAGTTCCATCAGCCTCAAATGAAGTAATATCTAAGATCCTGGTCCACTTCTCAAATAATAACCTTAGTGTTGAAAGGGGCCTGAAACCCATACATACCATACACTTGACACATTGTGCTTATCTAAGAGGAGATAAAAGGGTTTCTTTAAAAAACTAACAATGCTTGCCGTATTTGGCACACCAGCCACAATTTGCCTATCTCAGTCATAGAGTGTTTGTGTCATGCCTGGTCAAATGGAACACTATTTGTTTTGGTACTGTTGAGTACTTTTTTATGTGTTCATAAAATGTCCTCAATTTACAAGTTGTGTCCCCTATTTTTTATCAGCTCCAGTGGTTCTGGATCTAACAGCATTTCTTTCTATTTTGTATTTTCCGCAGTGTTTTCTATTTCCACCTTGGGCATTGTGACAATTTGCTTTTTGAAGTTGGCATCATATGCCCACACCAATAGCTGGTGCAGAAAGCATCATGCAGCAAACAAACTCAAACGACGACGCTCAGTGGATAGCGGTCCTGATGGTAACTTGCTGGTTATTTATGAACTAGACTTTTAAAGAAGAGTGACTGACGTCTAAGTGTTTGGAATTTTACGGTGTTATGGTGTACGCTCAAATTGGTCAAGTCAATATTTGTCAAAATTTACTCTCCAATCGTTTGCAAACAAAATGAATTCAGTGCTCAATGGCAACACAAACCATTCACTTACGATGTTGTAACTAAAAAGTGCGCATGTCTAAAGAGAGGTCATTCCTACATTTCTTTTACTGCTATGCTACTCTGTTGTTGATCAGCGTCCCTTGGGGTTAAGAGATGACTTATTACCATCACTGATGGGTTGTACACATTTCTTTTGTCATGAACGTCTTGAATTCCCGATTTGGGTTGCCCAGTGTCATGCATTTCACAATGCATTATATTAGCACTTCTTTTAGCATTTTGCGAAGGACTTGAATTCACAAATTTCTTAAAAAATCATGAAAGTCAGGAATTCAAGTCTCGTGTGAACCCCCCCAAACGGTAGGACATTGCCACTACTATTGTACTCCTAGATAATTTTGTTCCCTCTGATGCAGGTGCAACTGCTGTTAACAGTTCTGGCAGCGGACCCCAGGTCTATCCCAACAACTTGAATGTAAACGGTGAGCAAAGAATTTTTTTCTCTTTGTTGTTTTTCGACAAATGTTGGTGAAAAAATGTTTGTCTCAACACAGGTTGTGTACCCATCAAATTGTTCTTTCAGTCAAGACAGCGCTCATGTTTTGATGTTAGAATTTTAAATTTATTGTGAAGAGTGCTTGTCATACAAACTGAGAAAGGTTATGTTTCTATAATTGATATCTTTTGGTTGTATGAAAGTTATTTTTTTCTGTGCTCAATTTGGGAGGTTGGAGTGCGCCACTGGTAGGTCTTACTTCTTTACTTTCCCTCTGTTGTTTATGTCTGTCTTACATTTTCCCAGCACTAAATGACCATTATTGTGTAGATGTGCTTCACTTTACTCAAACAAAAAAACAATCTATGCTCAATGACACACTCAAAGAATGCAAATGTTGATTCTCAAAAACTTCTTTTCCTGAAAACAATTTGTTTGCAGACATGGTATATTTCCTGTTTGCACCCACCCTGTGTTATGAGCTGAATTTCCCACGGTCTGCTCGCATCCGGAAACGATTTTTGGCTAGAAGACTCCTAGAAATGGTAAGTCAATAACTCCCCTTAACCTTTGCTTCAGTTATGAAGATGTGTACTTGACATGGATAGTTATGTTGTTAAAGGAGTTGTTTTGTTTTTTAAAGAGAGAATCTCCTACACAGCTTAGTGAGCCTGTAATGTGTGTATGAGTATATTTATATATGTGTGCACAGTGGAGTTTGGCAGATCATGTATAATGTACTTTAATGGGTGGTCTGGTGTGGTCTGCTCCTTCTTTTCAATCATCTCTATGACCTCTGTACTTGTGGCCATTAAATAAGCTCTGGACATCAGGGTTGAAAGATTGAAGAAAACTCGATTCTTGTGTAATATTTGAAATCAAATTCACTGCCTCTGGAAAATTTATTTTTTCAAATGGAGCAGTCCTTTTACGAACCAGCAGAATTATTGTCAAACACGTTCTTTTTTTTACCGTCCTATTACCTAGCAGAAAATATTTGATTAAAAATGTACTTGACCAATTGCCAAAAGTTGGCTGAGGTCCATTGTTCAAATCATTACTGCTTGTTCCCACCATAAATCACAGCCACCTTAACGCCCTTCTCTTTCTTATGCTTTCTGTCTTCGTCTTCCTGTATACACTGCTGACCATGGAAATGAATGAACATTGATATGCTTTATCTAGAAATACCTTCATAATTACATTTGTTGTGTAGTCCCTGTGCATTGACGTAAGAAAATTTACATTTGGTATTTAACATTTATTATGAATTCTTCCCCCCTCCCCCAAATCATTCACTGTTTATACCACAATGATAACTGGACGTATTTCAATACATAAGCTATTTGCTGTTCACTGGATTGAAAAGAGACTTGAAAAACTTGTAAGCTGCAAAATTCCTTCTTTCAGCACGTAGCTGTTTATCATGGGGTGAGCTGACAGGTTCTGTTTAGAGATGTTTCTGCGAGGCAAATATGAATTTTCTAATCAATGACTATAAAGGTTGGCTTTTTGGTGTGATTTCAACCTTTTACCTTTGGATGTTTTATAATAGTAACACTTTAGGAAACCTTTGAGGTGATTTTAGATGGCTACCGGTTAGGGTAAATGATGCAGAAAGAGAGAAAGTTAATTAATAAAGATGTAACTGTAGTTAAGTATAACATAAATGTAGTTTCTGACGTGGTTTTTGTTGTTGTCATGTACAGCTGTTCCTGTCTTGGCTCATGGTTGCCCTGGTGCAACAGGTAAGTCCCTTTTGTTAGTAATTTGCTGCTATTTTCTACCACGTACCTGTGTTAAGACCAGCTCAGTATTGACTGTTGCGGTTTGTTGATGGGTTTTTTAATGTAAAAGCAAGCTCTGATACCTACTTCATTGTTTAGACATATATTCACAAGGTTGGCGGGTGGTTGGACGTGAAGTCCCCAATGTTTTGTCCGATTCTTTTCTTTCCCTCTGTCGTTTGTTTATCCTGCTATTTTCCTACACCACATGAATGGAAAAAGGTATGCTCTGACTTGCAAGCAACAACAATAATCATTGCTCAAACAACTGTTTAGAAAGTCAATACTTGTTTTACTTCAAATGAGAACCAACATTCAAGTCTAGAAATTTTTAATAAGAAATTGCAATGGCTGGTTTGAAATAATAAACTGAAAGCACGAAGACTAGTTACATTTGTTCTGGCTGTGCCTCAGTCTGTTCAGTCTGGAAAAGTCAATAATGTTTCGGTATCACAGATCCTTGCTGACGTCAGATTTTCTGTGCAGTGGCACTAGTTCCTGTGTATACGTGTGTGGACATTTTCTCTTTGCAGTGGATTGTGCCTGCTGTAAACAACGCCAGGCAGCCTCTTGCAGAGATGGAGATTTTCAAGATGCTGGAGAGACTTCTCAAGCTGAGTGTAAGTTTAGAACAATGCCCTTGACAGTAAAATCCTCCTCCCCTCCCCTGATTGTTTGAGTCCTTCACCATCTTGCAGTTTTTTGGAAGTCTGATCATCTTTTAAAACATTTTATTACATCAATGTTTTTAATACTCAAGGCTGTCTTGTGATGAGATTTTGCAGTAGTTTAAAATGCCTAATGCCAGTCGATAAATTGTGGTCAAGATGCTGCTTGATGTATGTGCCTGTGTTTCGGGAAAGGGGCTGGCAGTGATATAACATAAAGTACCGGTAAGGTGAATCTGAGAGCAAGTGTGTTGAAAGGGGAGGGGGGATATGTCCGATGCTGTTGTGCACCTACTGGTGTCTGAGGATGGTTTGAACCCCAAGAATAAGTACAAGCTGCATCAGATGGTCCTCTGGTGGTGTGTAGTAATGTCATTTCTGAGTGCTTCAGACAGCTGAGCACAGGGGAGAACAAGCTAGGACAAAGGAAAGCATGGTAGAGGAATGTCATATATAAGGGAAGTTGAAAAAGGTAGAAACATTGCTGGCAGAGGAGCCAAATTTTACTTTCTGTTGACCTCCCCATTTCAGATATCAACAAATAACTTGAGTAGCCATCAGTTTACTGTCAATGTATAACTTAAGCACAGTTCAAGTGGCTAGAGGTAAGAGGACTTTGAATGTCTTGAAAAACATATTTTTTAACAAAGACAGAGGTAAAATAGTTCTGACTTTTAAAAGGCCGAGGTGATTGGAATATCAGGATGGAAGGTCATGTTAAGCGGAGTGCACGGTCTCAGGTTGTTTTGGCACTTAAACTGAACCTTCAAATATTGTCTTTTGTGTATCTATATGGGTGAAGGGTTTCCTTTTTTTTTTTTTTTCGTTCCTCGATTGGAAGGCTAATTCACCTTCTAACATTCTATGTTTTTTTCTGTCTGGAAATGAAAGTTAACTACTTTGGATTAACATTTGACTTTGTACTCTTTTATCAACAGATTACACAATCATTTTTTGTAACTTGGATATGGATGTTTTGTTTTAACATGGTGCGTAGGTAGAACGCTTAATTATTTGAACCCTGAGCCAACAAGACTCATGCACATGGAACAAATCTTTTCTCTCTCTCTCTTCTCTCTCTCTCTCTTCTCTCTCTCTCTCTCTCTCTCTCTCTCTCTCTCTCTCTCTCTCTCTCTCTCCTCTCCTCTCTCCTCCCCCCTCCCTCCCTCTCTTTCTCTCTCTCTCTCACTTACGGACACACGCTCAGTGGAAATGGAGTTTCCTATTCACATGGACTAACATTTATTGTAACTATAGAACTGCTTGAAAGTTATGCTAATTTCAGTACATCGAATGTTTTGAAAGTTCAAGGCTATCATGTTTAGAGAATGCACAGTAATTTCTGTCATGTAAGTTGTAGTGTGACTGCAATGTTGTTTCATGTGTGGCCGTTCTTTAAGCTCACCGATTTAGAATTTATCATGGTTCTCAATATTCCGCTATGCGGATATCCGCTACCACCATTTTTTCAGCTAGACTCCGCTGCTGGGAGGGGCACCTCCCAGTAATGTGCCACCACTTTCTGTACATAATCAAGATTAATATTTTGTAAGTGACTCTTTTACTTGAAATCATCTTCCAAACCCTCAAATTGGCATGAAATAACCTTGCTTTGATAAATTGATGGTTTTTATTTCAGCACTCTAGTATAATAATAATGGGTGTCTTGCGAAAATGGTCTTCTGGTGCGATCCTTTGAAAAAGTTCCTCCTTTTTAAAAATTCTGAGTTGAGACCCATGGTTTATATTCTCTTGCCTTCTGACCATGTTAAGATCCTTATATAGGTACCTAGGCAATGAAGTGCATTGGGCCCCGATTCCTAGGTATAGTTTATGTATTAATAATTATAGTGTGTATTCATTGGTGGTAGGTCTCTGCATATATAGATAAGCATCGGGACACAATACCACGTAGGCCCCGGCCCCTTGACAACTACCAAGAATGCCTTTATGTTTAGGTATTCCTGTTAGTTTCTTTGTTCTTGATGCTAACTGCCACAGTAGACATCCATTTTCTTCCCCGTATCTGACTCTCAGGTCTTTACGTTATTATTTTTTTTACCCACTTTAAGCTTACATCAAAGAAAACATATCAGAACCTAAGTTTGCAGTACCTTTATGAATGAGCTTTAGATTCTGTTGGTCATTTAACTTTAAGACCTGTATGCAAAGATCTGAGAAGATTAAACAGAGCGATTTCATTTTATCTTGTTTTCACCGCAGTCGGGTGAAAGTGAACTAGCTGTAGTCATAGTTCAAACAGATTTGGTACACACAAAATCTGGTGTTGATCATTCATTCTTATGCTTGTTTGTTTTATTTTTTGAGGCCTTGATTGTGATCCAATTGTGCTCTATGTTTTCCTCAGATTCCAAATCACTTTATCTGGCTGATTTTCTTCTATTGGATGTTCCATTCCTCCCTTAATGTGGTTGCAGAGCTGCTGAGGTTTGGGGATCGTGTCTTCTACCGTGACTGGTGGTGAGTGTTTGTAGCATTCTAGAAACTTTATAGAATAGTCAGGAAATTTGTTTGTTTTCTGTTAAAATGTCCTTATCATAAGGTCACAAAACTTTTTGTTTCATCAGAGCTTAGGATGATCTAAATTAGGTCAATGGGGGCGTAACCCCCCCTCTCCAACATACCGTCAGATTTTAAAGACCGCAAGACCAGATGTTAAAGGGTTCCCAAATCAGTAAATATGTATCGTCTAACCTTGGATGAAGCAGAGACACAGAAAAGTTTCTTCAAACCTCTACCATTCTTATGTCCGTTGCAAACTAGACAATGCCTGTCCTGTCTATGGATTGGCAGAAAAATCTGACTTGAAGCTACGAGATCCAATCCAGAATGAAGGCCTTTGTCTTGTCCTAGGTGCTTTTTGTACTTCGCTTCAAGAAACTTAACAGGCAGGAGCCCAAGAACCATCTCTTAATTAAATTAAGAGTTTTACCAGTGTGACAAATTTTTTTCAAATTTGTTTTTTGGCTCCACACGTTATTTGTCCATTTAAAAACATATTTTTGTTTGTAGATTTTACTGAGAAACATTGAGTAAAGGCTCAACAAATGTAAACTTCCAGCCTCCAAGTACTCTCAAGCTTTGGAACTCAATGAACTTTGGCGTCTGTTTTCCAGCTAATTTTACCTCTGAAACCAGGCGACTCCCACCTCCTTCAATTGCACATGTCTCGACTTCTGTTCAAGATATTTGTATATTTTTTTTCATCAAAAAGTAGTTAAATGGACAAACTTTAAGATGGTACCAATAACTCCACATGCCCAAAAATTTACGAGCACCTGATTCCACCGCATCGTAACACAATTGTATTATTGAATAAAAGTCTTGACCTATATATTATATGTATGAATATTTTTAACTCACTTGAGTCTGAGATATTTTTCATTTAACAACCATTGCAGCCGAACACTTTTGGGGTATATTGAATTGTTAAGCACAAACAGACTGTGAAAGCTACCATAATTTAAAGAATGCAGCAAAAGAAAGGAAGAAATGTTCTCACAGAAAAAGAAAACATATAATTTATCCGAATAGTTTTTATTTTATCAATATTTTGAATTGAAAATGTCTCGGATTACACAATTTTTGTGTGTGTCCAATTTGTAATAAAATCATTTATCACAATGCAAGGGTGACTGACTTAGTCCCGTTACAACTAAAAAAGTATTGCACATGACTTCAACAAATTTTTAATGACACAAAATAAGTGGTTCAACTGTTGGCTCCAGGGTTCCGGTAGCTTGTAACTGAAAAATCATGGAGATATTGATAGATAAATCGCATCCCGTAAATGCACAGAAATAGGCTCAAGTGAGTTATTAGGTTTATAGTAATGATAATTAAGACCATATTTTCAAACACATTTTAGAAAATGTTTGTCCTTCCTTTTCCTGTCAATTACCGAAACAGTTCTTACCCAGATGGCTTTAATTGGTGACAAACTTGGCCATTTAAAGTTTGCACATAGTAATATACCTGATATGTCAACTTTTAATATACACTGTGCATGGGGTCTGAACTTCCCCTATTTTTGAAGGGTCCAAGTGGGGATGGCAGACAGTAACAAAAACATAATAAAAAGAAAAAAAAAATTCATTTTCTATGTTCTTCCTATACTCTCAATAAAGTAAATGAAAATGTCACTGTTTCCAGGAATGCTGAAACTGTGTCTGAATTCTGGCAGAACTGGAATATTCCGGTGCACAGATGGGCCACTAGGTGAGTTTCAGAATAGTGATGTTCAATTATTGAGAAAAGCGGAAAGAGGAAGACCTGATCACGATTAGGATGTGATATTCTCATCTCAGCATAGTGTTAAAAAGTCTTCCACATAACAACTATAAAGAAAAAAATACATTTTAGTTTAGCATTTTACAAGTAATGTGATAAAAAGTTTGTACTTACCATCATTTGCTTTTTTTCTTCACAGACATGTCTACAAGCCTCTTTTGAAAAAAGGAGTTTCCAAACTGGCAGCTTCAACAATCGTCTTTTTACTCTCTGCATTTTTCCATGAGGTGAGGAGGAATATTTATTAAAATTGAACCAATGTCAGATGGCAAATTGGGGTTTGTTTAATGCTGACCCTTACCATTTTCGGATGATATGTTTCCAGGGTAAAATGAATTTCTGAAACAAAAGCAAAGTAGGGGAAGTATGTTTGGAATAGTATTTAATGAGAATTATCATAGAATTCTCTGGTAACTCTTTATCATGTGTGTCTTTGTTTTACTTTTTTCATGAAGTCAATTATTGCTTCTCTTGCCAAATTGGAGGATGGGTGTGGTACAGAATTGCAAATGAGAAAACATAAAGAGAAGACAGCCCTGGGGATATAATATTTTTCTTTCTTTTTTTTTATGTTGACAGAGGAGGTCTCACCAAAGAAGTAAGTTTCCGTGTCAAGAGAACCCAATTCATCTTGTAGCCAAAGCCAAGAACCATGTACTATACAAATGATTTCCTTTCTCAGAACCAAAAGGTTTTGTCTTAGTTTTAGTATGAGTTTTACGGCACTTGCAACGTAATCAGATCATATAAGTCGGGAAGCTTAAAAGTGTTATTAGAGAGTAACATACAGAGAAAAAGAGGAGGCGAGACAAGGATGAAGTTTGACATGAAATAAGGAGCAAACCACACCAGATCACTAGCCAACCGCTCACTCCAGAGGATTTGAAACATGTGGACACAAAAGATAAAAACGAAGTTCAGCAGCCAAGACCTGGAGCAATGAGATGGATCTGGAATGGAATGGCCGAGTTGTCCACAGGGGTAATGGTGGTTCATTCAGGCTCCTAGGATGAAAATGCTCATTGTTGTTAATTACAGCTCAAAATGCTCTCGTGAAATAGAAGGCATTAGGCCCACGCTTAATTAAAGTAATAATAATAATAAATAGCATTTGTATAGCGCATGTCCCCACTCGAAAGCAAGCTCTATTCGCTTTACACTATATTACTACCCCAGAAGACCAAAGAACACTCAGATACATTCTCAGCTTCCCAGGAAGCATACAGTGCAAGCAGCCGTTTAAGCACTCAAACACTAACAAACTGACAACACTTTTCACTGTCTATAGCGGGGTACCCATTTTCATCTGGGTAAAGTGGGGAAAATTCGTGTAAAATGCCTTTCCCAAGAACACCACGTCGGGTCCGCGGCTTGAACCCCAGAACCCGCAACCTCACGATTACGTGTCTGGTAGCCTAACCAATAGGCCACTGACGCCACTTAAGTATCCTTGAATACCAAGAAGGGGAGAATCTGCGTACATGTCATCCAGGGCTAATCACCTACCAATGATAGCGCGATGAAGGACATGGATGACTTGATAAAGACTGCAGTCTGACCTTGGACATGGCTTGAGGACAAATCACTATCCTTGAAGGAAGGACAGCAATGAATATGGGGAAGCGATGGGATAAATTAGGTTAGAGGGGGAAATGAGACGTGGATTTTGTGCCCTGGACGCCTGACCATTGATGGCACATTATGCTAGGAGGAAAGTTTGACTACACAACATGACTGTCATCAGATGATATAATAGGAAGCAAGATTGACGCATTTGCATTTCCAGATGGTTCAGAAAATCTGCACAAAGTGTAAGGGAAGAAGAGAGGAAATTCTCGCTTTGATCATCATCAGGCAATAGTTTAAGTGGACCTTGAACTTGACTGAAAATTGGACTCATGGGAAATAAGATAGATGCAAGTTTGATATTAAAGTGGTGAAGAGTCCTCAAAAGCAAAGAGAATTCAAAGTGGTCCTCATTAACAAGCACCACAAGAACAAAAATTGAAGATGAGGAAATGGTAGATGACTGATAGGGGAAGGTAATATTGTCTCTACTCTTGTGGAAATCCTAGCGTTCTGCTGTCCAGGTCACTGCTCTTCACAAATTGTGACAACACAACGGGAAGTGATGCGACTCCTATGAGGACCAGCACTTTCAGGGATTCCCCTGAATGATGCACATTTCCATATTTGACAGAGTTGGTCAGATTTCTTAACTCCCTAAAAAGTCAGCAGACCCCAGGAGGGAAGCCTTTCTCCTCTCTAATGATGCCAAAGGCAGTAAGAGCTTTGGCGGTTGCGAACATGCTCAGAAATGTAACATTCCTCACCCTTTCTGTTGAGGGTTATGGAAATAGTGACCATCCCAGAGACTTTTGGTGGAGTAGGTCCCAGCGGATGTCTTCTTCTCTTAGTCTTTATCTTTTGCTCTTGACTAGATTTGCACCCGCTCCTCCTGACAGGGACTTGTTGGGAACTGGAGTAAGGAGGGAGAATTTTGCACACACTTGAAGAAGATTCCAATATTGCCATCATCTTATTTTATTTCCTGAAATAGCTGTAACTCCTTTTTAAAAATGACCCCTTCTATTGTATAGATTGTTAAATTGTTTGGCAAAATGTTCGTTGTGGGTCTAAATTTTTTTAGCAGATTCCTTTTTATGTGTTTTCATATTATTCATAAGCAGCCGCAAGTAAACTGACTTGTTTTAAGGATTCTTTCTTTTCCTTTTGTTGCAGTATTTGGTCAGCATTCCACTTCGGATGTTCAAAATTTGGGCCTTCACAGGCATGTTGATGCAGGTGAGCCTTAGCTGTCTTGCTATTTTGGGTTTATTTTTTTCACAAGGTTGTTACAGATTGGGAAAGGGTGTGATGTTGAACAGGACAAGGCACATGATTCTTAATTCGCCATAATCTTTTCTTATTCTGTGTTTACAGGTCAGATGCTCAAGCATATTGCTGTTTGCCGTAAAAAATTCCTTGTGTCGTAATATCTCAGTAGTCATTGGGATTTTGATTAAGAGTAATTTAGTGGCACATTATTATAGCCTTTTGACTTTGACAGTGTTGTCAGGTGAAGCCGATATTGTTGAAGGGTGTGCGTCGAGAGTGTTTACCTTGCCCTATATAGCTCTTGCTTTTCTTAATCTCATTCCTCTAGTTCGTGACAATGAATGAAAATTGCTTATTCAACATGTTTAACTTCAATGTAAGCTTATGGAGTTTATCACTTCTCGGCGTCTTGTCTTGTTGAATTGTATAATTCAAGCTATCAGTTGTGCCGAGTAAGTCATGTGATGTGACGAAGAAGTTACTTTTAAGTTGTTATAGCTAAACCCCGTGGACCCGCGAGTCATGCTCTCCATGATTTGTCTTCTCCCTTCTGCACTGGGAGCTCACATATACTTAAGCACGTAAGGGGGTCAGAACTTTAAGGGTTAAATGAAACGCTTTTTGTAATGGAATTTTACATTTTGTAACCTTGGATTACATGTCCTAGATTAGGCGATGTTATTTGCATACTCCTAATTGAATGTTAAATGTCATGATTTTTTAAAGCTAAAAGATGATGTGGCAAGTTTGTGGCGCCTTACAGCTGAATCTTCCTTCGGTATAATGTTTCATGCCTCAGTCCAAATTTTGTCTCTTTTGTTATCTTGAAGACGTGACACTTGTTGCAAAAATGATTTAATAATATGTTTACTTTGTTTGGGTAGTTGATGGGTGCCACTAGTTGGTCCCCCCCCTTTCCTTTCGATCTATATTATATTGTTACTTTCGTTTTGCTTTTTCAAGCACCAAGCAAGCATTATTGTATTTATATTCAGATGCGCAAACACATACCGGAATATACTGTACCGAGTAGAAAATCTCAGAATAAATTGTGGCCAGCAGATTGTACAGTCAAACTGGCAATTGTTAGGTTTCTTTCTGCTTTGTTAATTACAGATTTTTGGAGTCTGTATTTGATCCCAGATCTTATAGTCTCTCAACTATGCCCTCTCTCAACTATGCCCTTTACCCTTAATCTTTAGTGTGATCATAATATGATTTTCGAATTATACAAATCTAGTTTTAGACATAGAAGCACCAAATGCCTTTTCTTTTCAGCTTTGGCCTCTATCTGTAAACTTTAACCAACCTATTGCATGGCTCATTATGATAAATTGCTGATGTAAATTGACAGTAAATGAATGGGGTATTTAAGTACAGGAAGAAAGAGCCCCTGCCACTCTAGTAAATTTTTCCCTATTGTCATACTTTGTTTTGTGACTGATAGTGACTGTGACATTTTTGTTCCCCTCTGTTGTTCCAGGTTCCAATCGCATACATCACCGCCAAATACATCCGAGGCAAGTGGGGCAACATTATCATGTGGCTGTCACTGATTGTGGGCCAGCCTGTCGCTATCCTCGCCTACTTTCATGACTACTTCATTGTGCGCTCCCTGCCATTTGCTAATGGCACAATGCCCAACTACAACATGTAGAGGTCCTCAGATGAAAAAAAGGGATTGAACAATTCTTTTTTTTTCTTCTTTTTTTTTTTACAAATCTTATGGTGTGATATGTTGTTGTTTTTTTTGTTAGGCCAAAACTGCCATGGGTTCTTTTGATTTTGTTTTGAACCTGAAAAGTTTGGATGAACTCCTGAAGATGATACTATCAACATAATGAAATTTGTTTTGCCGATGACTTGAGTGGCCTTGGAGAATATCATGTTACTGTTTGTTTCCTTTTGGTCCCTTCATGTGTTCTGCCAATTTTTCTATTTACCGGTACTCTGAAGTGGTTCTCAGTAACTAGAATGATTGTGCTGCAGACACTCGTTTACTGGGTCTTCAAGAAGCAGAGCTGCACTCTCTGTGATTTTTTAAAATTTTAACATTTTGGGCTGTCTTATAGAATAATTTTTGGCCTTTTGTAAAAAAAGAAATTTGATTCTTCTTGAATGTCAAGTTAATGTAATTTTGTCACACCCCCCACCCCCCCCTTCTTTTTTTTTCTTTCTTTTTTTTAGCAGTCTAGTGTGTTCACACAATGTTCCTACACCTTTTTTTTTCTTTCAGTCTAGTACATACACTATATTCCTATTTTTAAAAAAATTCAGTCTGGTATACACGCTATGTTCTTTCATCTTCTTTATTCTCTGTCAGTCTAGTATACACACTATGTTCCTACATCTGCTTTATTCTTCATCAGTCTAGTGAACACACTATGTTCCTACATCTTCTTTATTCTCTATCAGTCTAGTGTACACACCATGTTCCTATGAATTTTTTTTCTGTCTTGCACACATACAATGATCATCTTTTTTCTTTTACAGTCGAGTATACACATAATGTTCGTATATATTTTTCAGTTTAGTTTATACACAATTTTCCTACATTGTTTAAACAGCTTGTTATGTTTGATGGAAATTGTGGTTTATCAATACTGTAAATCTTTTGTTTTTGTTGTTCCGGATTGAACTACAGGAGATTCCTTTGTATTATTATGACTTGTTGTTTGGGTTGACTGGAATGTATTACGTCTATTTACTATTTCTCTGTACTATTTCTCAGGTGAAGTAACAATGTGTGTGTGCCTGTGCGTGTGCTAGTGGAGAAGTTGGCTTCTCAGAGATTAGACGAATTTATATTTTACACCTCATCATGACATTTCTGAAACTGAAAGTGTTCTCCGTGTAAGAGGTCAATGCCCACTGTTGGAAACAAAGTGTCTACAAGTTGTGTTAGCTGGTGTGGACTTGTAATTTTGTTGGGCGGGGGGGGGGTTGGCCTTTATAGATCTACCATGGTATATATTTGCAAATCTTCCAAGTACCCCAAAAAAATTCCATTTATTTGCTTTTAAGATACCTGACTCTTGTCAGATTTGCATGCAATTTATTTGCGTAAAAACTTCCATCAGACCATGAACTTGTTTTTAAAATGATACGTGATATGGAAGGACGCACTGCTATGATTTGCTACGCTGGCGAACATGTATCAATCACTCTCTGTACCTGAATCACGTTAGCTTGAGTCTGAAATGTCGCTACAACATTTGGGAAGTGAAATTTCAAGTAGCTGCTCATATGACTTAATCAACTTATCAAAAAATTACAAATGTTCTGTGAAATCAATAAAACTAAGGTAAAAATAGATTTTCCCATGTGACTTTCTTTAGATGCATACTACGTTCAGCTCACTAACATGTGGCTCACTGGTTGAATTTTATTTGTAATAGCCAATTTATAACGCGATATTTATGGCAGATCTGTTTCAAAGGGGGAAATGAAGTTTGTAAGCCCTCAGTTTTCAAGCCAGGAAGTGGTGGACTAGCCTATAACTTGAGTTTTAAAGGTGGAAGTTGCATAACTGTGTTGTTGTTGTGGCTGTTGTTGTTATGGCTGTTTTGGAAAGAACAAGTATACTGTGCGTAATTGGTGCTCATCTTAATTTCTTATTATGGAAAAAGTTTTTGAGTCATATTCTTTTTTTGAAAAGGGTCTGAGGTTGCATTTAGCCGAGTTCCATGCATTCCTGTTCTTTCTTGGCTCCTTTTATGGATCTTGATTGCCAGTTGGTTGGTTTCAGCCAAATTCATTATCTTCTTTTCTATTGATACTTAAGAACTAGCGGTATTGTCATGTGCCTAAATGAGCTCTTATGAAGGGCACAATGCACCACCATTTCTTATGCTTCTTGTTTATACTTTTGTTATTGTATTACTTTTCTGTATAGGACAAATATACATATAATAAATGCAACTTGAACTCTTCACGTTTTATGAATTTTTGCTCACTGTACTTGATGTGATTTCAAAGCGTTATTTTTAAATTGTCAATTTATGGAGTGAGTTTGTGTCATCACTTTTGATGATGTATATGTTGTCTTAATAACCAGCATAAAATTTGCTTGTCTGTACTGTTCTAAAAACTACAAGTCTTGAGAGAAAAGTCCGCAAATTGTATAATGATTGTTAAAATCAGTGAAACATCTCGGATCTAATCAAACAGCTTGTCTCATAGGCTGCCCTTGATCCTGGTTTTTTTTTTTTTCTTTCTCGAGACAAGGTTGGGGTGGGCAAACAAGCCATATATGTGAGTGAATAGGAGAGGTACAAAAAACACTATCATAAATTTTATTCTTCGTTCATGAGTAGTGTTGGAGATACTGTATCATGTGGTTTGTTTGTCTGCTGGCACTTGCTGTATGACCCAGATAAGTTTGTATATTTGCAAACTTGTCCCTCTGTCATGCCGGAGCTGTTTGCTAGCTGTATAGATGAAAGAGGGCATTTAGGAAGAGCATGCCTTTAAAAATGGAAGTTCTGTAAAATTTTGTTATATAACTCAGGTCTGCATTTATTTTTACAATTTCTGTTTAGAGACAGCTATACCTTCAAATTTAGTTCACTTCCTTAGCCTAAGTCTGGAGTAGTGTTGGGCGCTGATCGATACCAGTACTGGGTACCTGTTAAGAATGAACCCCTTAGTAAGTACTTATTTTCGTTGCTTAGTCGATACTAATCGATACCCTAGTTTTGGAATGTCGGGATTTTTATGATTTTTTAAAAACTAAAAAGCATTGAAAATGCTGCTGACCAAAAAACTATTGTTCGTGATATACACAGACATGCAACTGGTTTCCATGGTAGAAGTTGGTGGATTCCAAGACTTCATGAATGCCGTTGATTTCCCCAAAATTCAGACGGCAACTTTCGAGATGCAGCTAAAGTAGAAAAAAAAAAATGAAGCCAAGTAAAACCAAAACCAAAAACAGAAATAAAGCCTAATAAAAAAAAACCCAATAGCAATGGACACAGCGCAGGCTAATGTATGCAGGCCTACAACTGTGTTTCGTGGCATTTTATGGTGAAAAGTGATTGACCGTATTATAGTAAGAAACTATGTTGTTGAATCTTAATAAGTACTGAGTACTTATCGATATTGGGCTCGCAATACTGGCCAGTATCGACTTGTGCTTGCCCTAGTCTGGGGCAGTCTTTCATTTTTGGGATTGCATCAAAGTAAAGATATTGGACATCCCAATAGCATTTTCTGTTAAGAATGCTCTAATTAAATGTAGTCATAACTTGTGTTTGCAAAACCTAGGGGTCAGCAAAAAGAATTTTGATACCTGCAAACTTGTTGAATGCAAAGTTTTTGGTTTTTACACAAGATACAAACTGTATTGCCTATATATGGCTCCTTTTGAACTGGGGTTGAACCGGGCTTGGATAGATCATCATCATCCAGTGCCAGATCTGCGACAGACATCGGCGATCATGATTTTCCATTCATTCCTTTGCTCGGATGCTCTCAGAAAAGTTACGTTTCCCTGATTTTTCCCTGTTACCCATTTGTTTAGGTTCCCTAAGTATGTTGTTCTGGGCCTACCCCTGCCTCGCTTGCCTTCAATTTTGCCAGTGAGAGCTAGATGTTCAAGACCCTTATGTCTATTCCCAAAAACTGCATTTGCTTGGATAGATTAAAACAATAAAAAAAAAAAAATCAAATCCTGAATTTTTTCCCTCATTTCTTTTTCTGGCCTTGAACTGCTTCTCTTCCTTGTCGTGTTTTTCTTTTTCTCCATCAATTTCTTCTTTGTTTCCTCTTCTCACTCTCCTATTCTTTTTCTTTTTCTTCTAGACATGTCTTATTTATCTCAAAGGTCTTTTAATGAGGGGTGCTATAATTTTTTTGATGTGTTTGTCGTAATTTGTTTCTAGAACAAAGTGTACCTTTTGTTGCAGGTAGCCTATTCTATTTTCCTGGGGTACTCTCAATTATTTGTTCTGAGAAGTTATTTCAGTTTTGCAGTGTGATTTTTAACTTTGCTGGGTTTCTTATTTGGACCAACTTGCTCTTCTTTTTATGATAAAGAGCTTTTACAGTGAATGAAACAAGTGTCTATGCGGGTAGTTAAATGGCACCCCTGCTAGGAACTTTATCTTCTTTCCCACCGCTGTCTCTGCTGTCTGTTTTGCTTTTTCCCTGCACTCAATAAATAACTTGTTGCTTGAATGTGCTTCTGTTTGCTCAAATGAGTGTCTGTGGGGTTATGGTTAAGCTTGCATGCAGAGACTGCTCATTTAATTTTTATGTGGGGAAGTTTTTTTTATGAAGTGCCCCTGTCTTTGTGCAGAGATATAATCTCACTTTGTCCAGGCAGGTTCTGACAGACAGGATCAAAGTGGCTTACCTCTTGTATAGCCTAATGTTTGCTAATTGTGGCGTAAAATATTTACAGTGCTGAGACCCATGAAATATGTTTGTCCTTGGTCTTTAAGTTTTTATGTCCTGGCCTGAGAGGATAAGACGTTCAGTTGAGAATCTGGAAAATAAAAATTGATATGAGAATGTCCATACAAAGATTTGTTTTTTTAGGTAAGATTAAGACCTATAATATTTTTCATGCCCAGTTTGTGGTTGGGATTCTTACATCTTATTTCTGCCTTTGGCTACTTGTGGTTCTGAACAAATTCTCTCTATTGATCACAGTCCTGATCGGTCTGTCTGTGGTTGGGGTGTGCGAGTACTCAATTACTTTTGACCACTAAACTAACTATACACTTTTAGACAGAAGCAGAAAGAGGTTTTAAGGCTAAAGAGGCAATACGAGGTAAGACTGTAAGAGTTTCCCTTATTTGTAAATACAAATGATGTACATGTATTTGTGAATGAAACCCGTAAATAAAGACTTATGCCCAACAAATAAAAGAAGAGTTTTTTTTAATAACTAGCTTTACATCTTTGCATATTTTTCCAAAGGTATAATATTAAGTAAAGTTTCAACAGAATTAGGTGAAGATTCTCAGAGCTTTGCCTGGGCAGCTTGTGTTTTTGTGCTTACTCCACTGGCCTTTAGTTTTCAATTGCTTGGTCTTTCGAGTTAGGCAGTCCCATTTGAAATATTTATTTTGGGCATTCACAGATGGAACAGTACAGGGTCATGCTTTTTTTATGTGTGCTTGTTTCCTGCTGTCTCTATTAACCATTTACGCAGGATTTCTGTTCTCTTTTGCTCATTTGTGTTGTGTACAGAGATTGACATTATATTATTATTATTATTATTATTATCATGAATCTGAAATTTTGATGGAGAAGTAGAACTTTAAGACCTATTATTTGACTTAAGAATATTGATTACACCCATGATGGTATTTGACATAATAAAAAGGTTTAAAAATTACTTTGTAGTTGTTTTTTTTGTGTGGTTATTTTCTCTTTTAAAGTTTAAATAAATTATTTTCTAAATAGACTGATTGATAAGAGTGTACTACTGTCAACACACACTCTAAACAGAAAGGAATTTAACATTTAAGGGAAAATCTAATGTAAATCTAACTTATAATGGAATTTGTAGACCACAATCCCATGATACCATAAGATAACAAAGCATTAGGTTTTCTTAATGTTGCTGAAAATAGATCTGGTCAAACGCAATATCAACTTGTTCTGACAGTTCCAGGTTCTATATTCGAAAGTTTGAAGCGACCTAGAATCAGACCCACACAGCACAAAGCCAACACGTAAAATATAGAATAGAATTTTCCTTGACACTAAACTACACTTTAAAAAAATAATTTTTTCATGTTAAAACAATAAGTCCTTAGAAGAGGGGACGTGGTGCGTGCGTGTATCTATGCATGTACATGTGTACATGTATGTATATGTCATTGTGTGTGTACATGTGTGTATGAGTTTACAAATGTATGTATTAATGTGATTTTGTGTACGTTTGCATGTGTTCTCACATTTGTCTGTGTTGTGTGTTCGTGTGCGCGTGTGTATTTGTGGTTTTGTGTGTGTGTGTGTGTGTGTGTGTTCTGATGTTTGTGTGTATGTGAGTGTGTGTGTGTGAGTATTTGTGTTTATAAATTATGTGCTTAAGAGTGCATATGTGTGGTTGTCTACGCTTGCGTTTGTGTGTATGTGTGTGTGT